TTCTTTTTAGCCCCGAGACCTCAGTGTGCTTCTCCATGCTGGATTATCCCACCTTGCGCAGCTAACTCCTCAGGAGGGCCATTTGGAATTGTCTCTCCTTTTCACAAGTGAAGGGCCAGGCCTGGCCCACCCAGCCCTGTTAAACTTTTTGTCTGGAGTGTTCAAGTAGTCAAGCCCTAGGGGAACTGGAATGTGATGACTGTGGAGACCCTAAAATGAGAGACTGGAAATAAAGTAGCTCTTCAAAGATGTCTGGTAAACTTTTACATGCTGTATTAAAGCCAGACCTTGTCCCGGAAAATCAACTTATCCCATTTTCAAATATTTTCTCAAAATTTGATGGCAAGAAAGCAGAGTTTCGTTTTTTTAACTTTGTGTCCTTAATTTGGGGAAAGATAGATGTTCTGGAGTTAGATTGCTACAGAGTATTAATCCTGTGCTGTGCTGGCTCTACAAAATAATTATTTGTATTCCTGGTTAGGGGCTTGTGGTGCACCACACCATAATAAGACAGCTGGATTAAAGGACTGATAATCAAATCTCCTGACTTTTCTGAAGCATTTAAAATCCCTTTTTGTGTTTTTATTTTGCAGAACACAGTACTATACCAACTGAGAATAATAAAATGTGCACTTTAAATGTTAGGCAATGAAAAACCAGGAGTTCCTCACTGCACTATTAAGTTTCCGCATGCGATTATTTTGTCTTTCAAAGTACTATACATTAGCTACATGGACATTTAAGACCTTAGAACAGGACTTATTTATTTTGATTGCTTTAAAATGCATTTTGTTTTGCTTTTTAAATGAATTTCAGTAATTACCAAAAAGAAAATGAACCTAATTTCTTTATTATGTTCTTCAGCCAAAATGATGCACAGTGTTTAATTTTGGGAAAGTATTCTTTTTTTTTTTTAAGATTTTATTTATTTTTAGAGAGGGAAGGGAGGGAGCTAGAGAGAGAGAGAGAAACATTAATGTGTGGCTGCTGGGGGTTATGGCCTGCCACCCAGGCATGTACCCTGGCTAGGAATCGAACCTGCGATACTTTGGTTCCCAGCCCACGCTCAATCCACTGAGCTACGCCAGCCAGGGAGAAAGTATTCTTTAAAAACCAGTATGTCAAATAACTAACTTCTCTAACTAGAACTTGTATTTCAGCATTAACACATAATCCAAATAACCTTGAATTACATGTAAAAGATGAAAAAGAACTCAAGTTTTTCTTCTAATACACTGAAGTAATTTTAATTCTCAATATACTGTTCTAGTCTTTGGAAAAATACTTGTAAAGGAATGTGAATCATAGCAGTTCACATCTCTTCATTTCCTATATAATTGTGTTCCTTACACCAAAATGCTTACTTACCGCCCACCAAAGGTTAAGCATCTTGAATTACAAAATGAGTTTATGGCCATTGTACTTTAAAATTGCCTCCATGCACTTGCTCATTCTGTGCCTTCTACCTGAAATACCTTAACCCATAGTTCCCATCTGTGTCTCCACTTAGAATAATCTGGGGGTTTTGAAAATATACCCAAACCCAAGCCACATCCCAGACCAATTAACTCACATGCCTAGGATACAGGCATCAAGTTTCTGAAAGTCCCCAGGTGATTCCAATGTAGAGATGAGCTTGAGAACCACCATCTCAACCAACTTTTCCCTAGCACTCTTCTGTTCACCCTTCCCATCTAGCTGACAGGGGATGTCCTATACCCTCCCTGACATTCCTGAACCTTCCCTCTACTTCTCCTGCGTATCTCTACCATACCCAGCATTAAAGGATATTGTAACTGTTTACTTCCAAGCCTGGTCCCTCAAACTACTATGATTCAGGCATATTCTTGTCTTTGAATCCCAGAGTCTAACGCTATACCTAGTGTATGGGTGTATTCAATACATTCATGGAATGAATAACTTCTTAAGAAAACCCAAAGCAAAATTATTGTTATGATAATATTTATATGCTGTGGGAAAAGTAATAGTTTAAGATGTGTTTAGGATGATGTTTCACTGATGGGCATTGTCTCATATTTAGGAAAACATCTCATACCAATGAAAATAAAACACTATCTCAACATCGAAAAAATCAAAATATAACTGATTGCCTACAAAATTACATTCTTTCCCTAATAAGCACAGAAAAACATTTACTATGATAAATATCCAAAATAGCCCATTCTTTCTCAGCTCCACTTTTATCTTAAATAGATTATGTCTTTTCTTTTCTCTCTCTGCCATTGAGTGACAGCTGCCACAGGCACAGTCACAGGTGAAGGATGCAATCAAGGGTTTTCTTTCAGCACCAGCTACCAAATCCTGGCCCCGCTGCCTGGGGGAGGACCTGTGAAAGTGCTAGTGTGTGTTGTTTTCCAAAGCAGTCCTTTCAGAGTTTCATGATACTTCAGGGGTTCATAAAACTGATTTTTAAGAGTTTTAAAGCACTTAATTTACTAAATATTATGTAAGAACCTATGTTTATTGTAACATTCACACTGTTCTACAATTAATTGGGTAATGTCTTTCTCAGGTCCTCCTCTGCTTTCTTGCCTCCATACGATCATTATGATTCAAAAAATATTCACATAATAAATTTTGCTACAATCTAATTCTAGACAATAAACCCAATCTTAAACATATGTTTAAAAAAGCTGTCTAAAAATATTTTGCTACTTGAGTTACCCAATTACTTTATATTGCAGTAATGTTTCACAATCTAACAAAATGTTGTTCTTTATTCACTAGATTGTTATGTACAGAACCTGAAATCAGATTAAGAACTGTTTTCCAAAGTAATATGTTAGTCATTTTTCTAATTTATATTTATATATGAAATGCTCGATTATCTCATTAGACATCAAATTAATTTAAGACTTTCCCAAATAGTGTTCAATATATGCTCATTTTGAATTCATATAACAGATAAATATGAGAAAAAGTTCAATCCTCTACTTTTAAATGCCTGCATTGTAATAAACTGTTAACCAATTTTTAATTTATTCTATTAACTATGACTAATTTTAAAAGCAGTCATTGAAACATAGTTCTTGTCCTTTCCATAATGGAGTTATGATTCTAAATCCTAAGTGCAATATCCTTAGAAACTGCTCTACTTTATCAGAAACAAGCTCTGAATGTATTGTCAATTGTGAAGACAAAAGATCACCGTTCATGAGGCTTGGTTCTAATGTCAGTTTCCAAAATGTAGAAGCTGCGAATGAGACTATTCCAAGTGAGCTTCAGTTGTAATAAACACAAAACTGAATTTCTTTTGCCACGCAAACAGGGCACAGACTGGAATGCTTTAAGCCAGCGATTTTCCACTGGTGTGTCACAAGAGGCATACTGGTGCACTGCATGAGTTTTATAAAATATGCAACTGACTAGTCAGGGGCACTGACTTTTTTTCCTTTAGATTGCAGAGTGAAAAAATAATAGCCAACACACCAACAGCCATCCGGTACAAATGAATCAAAATTATACTCATTGGGGGGGGGGGGGAGGTCAGGGCAGCAAAATAATGACTTCATTTAGTGTGTTGCAGAATTTTAGTAAGTTTATATGTGCCATGAGGTGAAAAAGGCTGAAAAATAGCTGCTTTAAACCAGTAACGGCCAGCCTTACATATTTATGTTTGGATCAAAAGAGCGGGGCAGTTTAAAGTTGGTTTCTATCAGCATGTTTGATTTTTGGATGGTGTCCTTTCTCAGGTCCTCTTCTGCCGCCTTATTTCTCACCCAACTGTCATACCCTGAACGTACAACCCATCACTCCTTTCGCGAGGGGCCCTGTGGGGCTTTACTGCCTCCCACCCTTCTGGCCAGGCATTACAGGCTCAGGAGTCAGCCTAAGACCTAGAAGGGAAAAGCCCAGGAGGTTGGAGCGCCATGGGGCTCTGTGCGTCGCGGGCCAGGGGGCCAGGAAGATCGTCGGTCTCTCTCCCATGGTCTCCAGTTCCTAGGTGCCGGTCACAGTGGCCACAGCCTCACGGGAGAGGAACAGCTCGCCACTTTCCCAGACCCAACAGCTACCGAAGGCAAAAAATCCTCGATTCCAGTGCCTTAAGAATATCTTCCATTGGCTCTTTCCATTATCTGTCTTCCTCTCTCCAGACACCATCTGGATCGGACAAATATAATTTCGGGGGGGGGGGTGGTCACAGCACTAAACTACAGCAGACTGGGGCTGTGTCTACCTGAAGAACTCTAGAGGCAGAGCTAGCGGGGGAGGCTTGGCTTCCTCGGCGGCCCCCCACCCTCCATCCAGAATAAAACTCTCGAGGGCGCGACATCCCGAGTAATGGGTGGGCAGGTGGGTGCGGGACAGGCGGGAAGCTAGGAGTCACGAAGCCTCCTCCGCTGGAAACGCCTTCTCTCTGAGTGGCCTCCCCTTCCCCGTTCCGAATTAGTAAAACGGTGCTCTGGCCAAAGAACCACCCCCAGCCTGCCTGACGGGAGCGTTCCCGGGGAACAGGGGCCGGGAATCGCACAGGGCCACTGGACCGTGAGGGAGAGGCACTGGCAATGTCCCCTCCCGCCTCTCTCTCCTTCGCGCGAGGAAAGGGCCAGATCACAGGGGTCCAAACACAGCGTCTTTCTGCGGCTCGCCTCCCTCCCCTAGGATCCCAGAGGGGTGGTTTCTTTCGCTTTTTCCCGACCCCACCTCGTGGCGCCCCTTCGCGGAACGCTTGGTTGGGTCCGAGGCGGGGCCGGCAGGAGCCGCACGTGAAGTCGCGAGCTCTGCGCTCCGCTCCCGCGGCTCTGTAATCTCCCCCTCCACTGCTGGACGGGGAAGAAGGCGGAGCCTCAGGGGGCTGGGCGGGAGGCGTGGGCGGGGGGCGGGGGGCGGGGCCGACGCGGAGCGCTCCCCTGGCAGTTCAGGCCGGAGAGCTGAGAGGAGCCGGGCGGTCGCGGCGCGAGCAGGAAGCGACGGAGTGCAGATGTGAGTCCAACGCCTGGTGCTCCAGACTTTACTTCGAGGTACGAGGAGGAACCCAGAGTCTTGGGGCCTTCCAGCCCTCCCCCTAGCCCGGCTACTGCGCCCCGGCCGCCCGCTGTGCTCCCTGCCGGCTGGGCGGCGACGGTGGCGGCTGGACCGGGCTTTCAGGGGGTTTTAGGAAAGTCGTGAGCTCCAGCGAAAGCTGTATCCCCTTCTCCGCCTCTTTCTTCGCCTTCTCCTCGCTCCCTCGGCCCTGGGCATCCGGCACCGGGCTGGTAGGCTGCCTCCGGTGAGTCGAAGCTCGCCCACGCTGGGGCGGGAGGACGGGGCCCGGGGGCCCCGGGGCAACCCAGCTGGGCAGGACGGGAGACGCGGAGCTTCGGGGCTGCCTGGGCGGCGAGGGCGGGAGGCCGCCCGGGCTGCTGGCAGAGCCCCTGAGCTCGGCGCGTGGCGCTAGGCTCTCTGGTGGTCCCTGGCGCTCAATTCTGGGGGCGCCTGACCGTCGCGCCCCGCTGCTGTGCCTGGGCGCCAGGGCCAGCCCCTAAGCCCTGCATTCCTGGGTGCGGTGCGTGCCGCCTGTTGTGTGCGCCTTGGGGCCGGGCTGCTGGGCTGTGGGGAAGGGACCCGCGCGCCGCGTCTGCCCCATCGTCCCTGAAAGTGCCTAGTCGGGGGAGTTGGAGATTGAGTTTGAGCTCCGCGGCGCCAGAAGGGGGCCTCGGTGGAATGCTGAGTTGGGGTCGCAGAGTGCAGAATTTGGGTTCCTGGAGGAGCTTGCAGCGCGCAGGCCCGGCCCCAGGCAGAGGAGACCACCAGCCTCAGCTCCAGGATGGCCAGGAACTGTCAGGTGTGGACAGCTTGGGGCCACCAGTGTGAGGTCCACAGGGGTCGTAGCAGCACCTCGAGGCCCGGACGGCATAACCAAATGGTGAGGGCGTCTTCTTAAAGGCATGAATAAATGGAAAGCTGTCAAAATAAGCATATTTTAAAGTTTGAGGGGAAGCTGGCAGATTTTTCAGGCTATGCAATTAGATGTCCAGAGAAACGTTAGCTTCTTAAGCCCTTTTTGTTTTTATTTTTTGGCACAAATCTGTTTTGCCAGTATTTTCCCCAGGAGCTGTGTATTGCCCACAGCAGGGAAAGAAAACTTAAGCAATGTTCTCGGGATGCTTTTGACTTCAAGCCTGTGCTCTCCAGTTTTTTAATTTTTGAATGTGCAGAAAAAGTATGTCTTGCTGGAGTTTCAGTGTATAATTTCGTCTCTTCTTCTCTGGAATCCGGCGATGTTTGTTTATTGGTTTTATAAGCATCTATTTAAATTTAGTTTTTGCAGGAAATACTCCCCGTTGCCACAGGGTGTAGTTTACGGATTAGAAAATACTGCTGGAGAAAGCTGCTAGTGGCTTCATTTTCCAAGAATGTAAGTCATTTCCTTTCTGTGATTTCAGGGAGTTGATATTTCACAGCATCAAAACTTTGTGGGGAAAATTTTCCGTAATACATCTGTCATTAAAAAGGCTTTTTTTGACTTTTTCTTCTTTAGAGCAGCGCATAAATTTAGGTTCAGCAATGTTAAAGGATAAGAAGTTTCTCAGAATCTATAGTGTTTTTAGACCATTGTAGAGAGTAATTTTAACAACCACCAAGACCTACAAACAGCCTGCAGGATGGAGAGTGGGGGAGGGGAGGCGAGAAGCCAGAGGCAGGAAAACAGATGCGTTTGCTGCTGTTCTTTGTAGTATAAAACTTCTATCACTTAATCATTTTCCTTGGATGTGGCTTTGAGAAATAAAAGTATTATGTTAAAAATGAAAATACTCCACAATATGAGACAACTGACATTTGAGATTTCTTTTAGTATGTTTGTAAACATACTGGGTTTATATTTCATAATAAAATGGGCCTTTGGGGTTATTAGATGAGAAGGGTCCTCCAGGAGATACCTACTATCCAGTTATCTGCAGGGTATCTTCTCCAGAAAGCAGACTGACTGTAATATGAACTAACTTTCCCCTCTTGGAATTGCTTATAAGAATGCCTGAGATCAGGCACTTATGGGCCACAGTTATCAGCAGCTCTTGCAGTGCTCAAAACGTTTTAAGAGACAGGAAATATTTCTCTATTTTCACCCCCACCTTTTAGGGGAGCAACAGGGTAAACTACTAGCTTCAGATACATAATTCAAACTGGAAGATTTAAGATGCTCCTCCTAGCTTTACAGGAAAACAATACAGGCCAGGGTAAGATTGCATTTGAAAGCAGAATATTGGTGTTAGGTAATAATTCTTCGCTACAGGTTCTTCAAAAGCTGCATTGGGGGGGTGGCTGTAGAGCTTTTCTAGTTTCTGTACTTTGTTTCCTGTTTCAACTTCACTTATAAAGTTTTTGGCTTTCTGAACCAATGACATAATAGACTGTAGCCTTTTGTGGCAGATGCTTGAAATGGAAGTTTCAAACAGAATTGCTTTTGACTGAGCTGTCAAGTTCAGAGTTTAGTGAAATTGAGTCCTGTCTCACAACTAACTTTTTTGATAAGGGATTCTTTGTAGTTTTCAACTTCTATGTTGCCCATTCTGATTCCTAAGGCTATGGGTTTACAAAAAACCATAAAACCTGCAAACAATTATTTTATTACATGAAAGCCAGTACCAAGAAAAGATTAATTTAGTCCAGATGTAAAAATGTATGTGAATTTTAGATTTGGATGATCTCAACAAGTTTTCCCTTTTGTTGATGAGGCTGCCTGGATTGCAGATGGCATGCACAAATTATCCTTTCGGTGGTGTTCTGAGTTCAGAGCTGAATTTAACGGGCTTTTTCTAAAGTCATTTTAATATTGTTTCAGGCCTTCTAAAGAACAGAAAGTTTTCTGCATTTATGCAGAGATGTGTTTTTCCTACTAATTAAGACAGACCTCATAAATGACCTGGTTTGGTAGATGAAGCCTATTTCGTAAGTGGGGAACGAGGTGTTCAGATATGTGTATCCTTATGGGCAAAGCATTGAAGCTTTGGCTTTCAATTATGCCAATTTCAGCTCTCTTCTTTTAAAGAAAAAATAGTTTTAAGTGTGTTTACAGTCTTTAGTAGAATCCTGTTGGAACACAATTTGTGTTTTCTGATAGAGCATTTGGTAATTGTATAATGATCCTCTGACCTCCTCTTCCCTCAACCAAAAAAAAAAATACACACAACTTATAAATAAGAAAACTCCAGTATTTTTTCTTTTTTTTTTAAGATTTTATTTATTATTTATTTTTAGAGAGGGAAGGGGGAGAGAAAGAGAGAGAGAGAGAGAGAGACATCAATGCATGGTTGCTGGGGGCCATGGCCTGCAACCTAGGCATGTGCCCTGACTGGGAATCGAACCTGCGGTGCCTGGTTCGCAGCCCTAGCTCAATCCACTGAGCTACACCAGCCAGGGCTGTTTTTTTTCTTGATAATTTTTTAAGTTGAATTTATTGGGGTAACATTGGTTAATAAAATCACATAGGTTGCAGATGTGTAATTCTTTCATACATCATCTGTATATTGTGTATTCACCAAAAGTTCAGTATTTTTTCAACCTCCTCCCAACACCAAAGTTATAAAGGGTGTGTGTTGCACACTTAAAATGATATATATTTTAGGAAGTTTTTATATCATTACATAATTATACATTTTGGGAGTTTGATTACATTATGATTGTGTATAAAGCAATTGAGTGTCGGCGGGGATAGGAAGCCTTTAGTGAAAGAATTTTATGAGTGGTGAAATTTCAGTTAAAATGTATCTTTCCTAAAACTCAAACAGGAAAAATGGTATTGTTGGCCTCTGTAGTTAAACTTTGATTTAGGGGTTAGTTTTGAGAGGGCTTTTGAATTGCACATTATCCTGAGGAAGAGGCTTTGGGGACCAGTAAAAATAAGTAGAAATAAGTTAAAGGGGTAATTTGAGAGGAAGGAGGAAGTAGAATACTGGGCATTGAATTGCAAGGAAAATCTAAACTTAGAAGGATGACTATTTAAAACAAGGCTAAAGTAGGGAGAACTTTCTATTTAAAAGTGGGAATTAAAGAATAAGATCTTTTTAGCTGAGAAAAAAGGATTCGAGTTAAGGTGCCCTGTAAGGTCTGTGTACAACATGAAATAGTACTAAGTAATGTTTATCATGGGTATCTTGCCTGCATTTGTGTTGAAATAGTGTTCAGGGACTGGATGCTTATGATGGGGCCCCCCCCACCCCCACCCCACTTACCGTTTCAAAGACTGGAAACATTTTTTTTGTCTTAGCTCTAATGATTCTACAAATATTTAATGAGTCTCCTAGCATTTAGGGGAACTGCAACTGCCCACCCGAATGCACTGGGACCAGAGGACCTCTACAGAAGTAGTTGCTGGAGTTATCACAGTTTTGAGTGAAAACAAGCAAGCCGTACTTCCAGTTATGCTACATGCATTAGTGGTATAATTACTTCTAATGCAAGTTTGTGTACTATCACTTTTTTATGTATTACATGTTGTAAGCTTGCAGTATACCACATTGATCAAGGAGGGATTTTTGAACACTGGAAAGGGGTAAGAAATCACAGATCTGATAGACAGCTGGTTGTATTACCAGAGGAGGAGAAAAAGGTGATGCTGAAACACATGCACAGATGACCCAAAAATGCAGGCCAGAGGAGAAGCAGGGTCTGCTGGTGCTGTCCTGAAGTTGTCTGTAGTACAGCATTTTCTTGAATGCCTTTCCCTACCTGTGTGACCTTACCTAGTGGAGATTGATTTATAAAGCAGGAAACTAGTGGAGATTGGGGCATTATCTAGGTGATTTCATTAATGTGATAATTGGGATAATTCTCACCAAAAGTATCTATTTAGAACCTCAATATTCATTATCCTGGGGTATTTTGAGATGTTTCAAACATCTCAAACATCTTGTCTTGGTACGTACATATTATAGAACTTTGAGCAGCAGTGTTTTACTGGTATATGAAGACGGGGAAAGCAATATTTTATATTAACTAATAGCCACAGTTTCATGTGAAGGGGGAAGTCATAATAAAAGTCAAATTAATGAGGTATCTCACTTGGCTTCTCAGGTGGTTCTCTGTCTAGCTAACATTAAATGAAATGTAATTGTTTCTCTCCTGACATGTGACACCACTTGTGCTGTCCAGTTTTAGTAGACTGCTTTTCTGAGGGGGGAGTGGGGTCCCTATGGCTTAATTTCTTTGAGTGAACTTGTTGAATAATTATATGCAACCAGAAAAATGCACAGATCAGAAGTGTATAACAATAAGTGATCATACTCAGGG